AAACTTTTTACTCTGATATGATCCCACTTGTTGATTATTTATTTCTTGTGAGATGGAGTTTCTGTTCATAAAGTCCTTGCCTACACCTATGTCTTCATGAGTTTTACCTATTTTATCTTCCTGTTTATTTGTTGCTTATGAATACCCACTTGCCCCAGTGCCATTTGTGAAAGAACTATACTTCCTACCTTGTATGATCTTAGCACCCCTGTCAAAAATTTATTTATCATAGATGTATGTTTTATATATCATATATATCTCATTTCTATTGATCTACATATCCATTCTTGTACCAGCACCACACTGTCATACTTACTTTTGCTCTGTGGTATTTTTTGAAGTTAGGAAGCAGGAGTCTTTCTACTTTGTTCTTATTTTTCAAGATTGTCTTGTCTATCTTGAGTCCTTCAAAATTCTACATGAATTTTATAATCAGTTTATGTTATTTCAGAAACACAAGATGTTTTAGCATCTGAAAATCACTTCATATAGTGCATTATATGAATAGAATGAAAACCAAGCAAAAAAGTCTGAGGATCACCTCAATAGGTTTAAAAAATATTTGATAAAATCCAATACTCATTCATAATGAAAGGCTTACTAAAATGTTAAGAGCACAGAATGTTACTTATTAAAATGTTAATACACAGAATCTTAGGTGATCAAGAAAGTGAGTATTCAAGTCTTGCTGGTGGTTGTGTGGGAAGAAGGAAGTTAGGAGATTGTAAGGTGGGAGCCACTTATGTGTTTGAGTTTTAGCAAGGAGGCCAGTGTATCTGAAGGTGTAAGGGAAAGAGGAGGGATAATATACCTTAAAAAGAGCATGATAAGACGATTTGAACTTTAAAGTTGGTGTCACAGACTATAAGAGAAAGAAAGCCTAGGCTAGAGTGGTTGAGGTATCAGAGGGTGGGTTAGGATAATTCTTTACATATGAGGAGAAGGGAGAGACATTTCTTCTAATATAACCAAATAGAAATAGGAAAAGGTGGGAGAAGTTGCAGGTAAGTCTGTATAATGATAAGAGAGCTGAAGGGTTCCTGATGTGATGCCTTTGTTTTCTACAGGAAGTAGGAGACAAGGTATTTGCTAAGGATCATTTTTCTTTTCCCCTTCCCATAGTTCTGTGTCTCATTGTCTCCTCAGTCCCTTATTGCAATGGCCAGAACCAATATTATTACCAATATTACTATTATTATTATTACATTGGTCAGAACCAGGCTTTGTTCTTGGTTGTGATGAAATACCTCTGGTGTTCAGTTGTGCACATATTACTGTTTTTTTTTGTCCTGGTAGGGAATTGTTTAGTTCCTAATTTTTAAAATATCTTAAAGCATGTTATATGGGTGTATAATTTTATTGAGTATAATTTGGCACTTATAGAGAAACACATAAAATTTCTTTGATATGTTCACCTTTCCTTGTTTATCCTTGTAGTCCTAGGATATTGATTATAGTAACTTACACTTTATTGCATGAAGTAATTCTGTTGATTTATTTAGGTTATTTACCTGTCTTTCCTTCCACATACATCTATTCATCACTTACATTATCAAATCAAAATTATACTAGTCAACAAAAAATAATCTCTATTTCTTTGGACTTTTCTCCTGTTAGATATTGCAACTCTTAAAAAGCCAGTTACATCTTAGTGCTTCCAGTTAGAGGGGGCTTTTGACCTTGCTCTTAAAGAGGGTTATGCTTACACCTGTGCTTGCAGAGATAGCAGCCAAGGATGGGAAGAGCATTTGCCAGCTTAGACTGGAGGCTGTGCTGGTGCCTGGGCCAGAGGCATGGAATGTCCCAAATTATTTGGATTCTCAGTAACGTCGTGAGTTTTGATTCTATATACATAGGTTCTACATACGTAACTGTAATGATAAGTGGCTGTTATTTTTTGAGCCTTCATCAGTATTGTCAACACTGTATATTTTAATGATATTTTTATCTAATCCTTACAAGAATTTTCTGAGATAGATACTGTGATTCCCATTTTATAAAAGAGATGCACAAAGGTTGAACAATTTATCCAAAGTGTCACAATTGTTAGTATCTGTATAATACTATTAACATGGCATTTTAAAAATAGGGAACTCTTACTGCTTGTTCTTATATTTGCAGGGCATTTTTTATATTTTTATGTAAAGGAGTATAGATATTTACATAGTAAATATGGATATTATTTGACTAATTTATATTTTCAGTTTAATTTCTAACATAATTTCCATTTAGTGACATTTAACTGTTTATCTCTGTGTACTATATTAGTTGTATTGGCATTAGTTGCTAAACCAGGCAACTAGTTAGAAACTCTAAGCTTTATCCTATATAATTTGTTTTAGGATATTAATATTGCTTTTTTAAATATAGTAAATAGCTACATTTATTGATTAGTTTTTTTCTAGTACCAGGAACCGAACTCAGGACCTTGAGCTTGCTAGGCAGGGCTTTGTGCCACTGAGCTATATTCCAGGCTAGTAACTACATTTATTGAAGATCACAGGATGGTAGGAGAAACAGAAAGAAGAGTGAAGGGAAATAGAGGCTGAGGGGAAAAAAGGACTTGAGGGTGAAAGAAAAAAGAGCCCCAAGTGGGAAGGAGAAGAGCAGGGTAGATATTAGCATTGTTATGGTTTGTGTCTGGATGTCCTCCAAAGCCTCATGTGGTCATGGAGGGGCAGGCTTTTTGAGAGGCAGCTGAATCTAGAGTTTGTGAGTTTGTAATTGGTTCATTGTCTAGTGCTGGAATTGGCAGTATAAGTGCTACACCTGCCCTAGGGTGGTAGCCTGCATATAATATAAGAGAAGAATCTTACTCCTCCCATTTTGGCTCTTGTTGCTTTTACTGTCTTCTGCTATCATGAATGTTTGCCCTTCACCATGACATCCTGCTTTGGAGCTGGCTGATTATGAACTGAAACCCATACAAGCTGTGAGCTAAATAAACCTTTCCTCCCTTAACTTTGTGTGTTAGGTATTTTGTCTCAGCAATGAGAGAAAAGTAACTAACACAGAATTTGGTACCAGAAGAGAAGTCATTGCTATGACTATACCTGACCATGTGGTTCAAGAGCCTTTGGGACTGGCTTGTGGGAAGAGTTTGGAAGGGTTCAGTGATGTCTTCTGAAAGAATAGAGCTGGAACACCTTATGTTGTTCTGAATGGGAGAGTCAGGTCAGAGTTCAGAAGACCAGCAGGCTGATATAAATCCTGCTGGGAAAGACCAGAATTGGGAGGTTTCTTCTGGGAAGAAGTATTGCATTGGCTGTTGGACTCCAGATGATATGTGTTATGGCTTAGCAGAAAGTGTCTGCATTTTGCTCATGTCCAGAGACTTTGCCTGAGACTAATATTAAGGGCAGTGGACTAATTAAACTGCACAAGAAACTTCAAATCAGTCTAATGTTCAGGCAGTGGGATAGCTATCATTTGGGGCTTTTAACAAGATCTATCATGAGAATCAAGAACAAAGAGCCCAGCAGAATTGTTTAAAATATTGTGAGTTTGGCTAGAAAGGAATCCCCAGGAAAGCTGTGGACTGCAAAGATACAGCATAAGAGATCTCCACTGCTGAGAAGAAACAGAATACAAAAGAGAGCCTGAGGGCATAACAAGAAGCAGCAAGTCTCCATCCTTTGAAGCCTCAAAATTGCCATAGTAAAAGACTGCTTTGAGAAGAAAGCCACAAAGCACCATGTTCCAGAAGGTCAATCAATGGCTTCAGATTGTTCCAGAGTGATGGTGGCTGCACCATAGTTCAGAATGGTAGCAGCCTAGAGAATTTGTTCCTTGGAATTGGATTCAGAGTGCTCAGCAATCCAGACTGAGTCCCTACTGCCAAGACAGAAGGAAGCCTGAGTACTGCTCCAGCTGGCAACAGACCTTGGCATCATTCAAGTGGTGCTGGTTGTAAGTGCACGCAAAATGCATGAGTTGTGGGATAAGAAGGCTTCCAGCTAGATTTCAGAAGGCTTGGGAAGCCAGGCAGTGTGCCCCTGAGAGGGCAATATACGAAGCTGTGAGAGTAAAGCCAAAGGTGCAGTGAAGACTCCAGAACTTTGGAGAAGCCAGGAATGTGGATTGTCTGAGGAAAGCTGCAAGGAGGGAGCAGAGCAGGCTCAAGAGAGAACCCCTGGGAGATGTAACCACTAGGAGTGTTGTAAGGGCAGAGTCACCCAAGCCCTTTAGAGTTCACAGCTTGCCATAGGTTGCATCGAATGCTGCATGTGGAACTACAGGATTTAATATTTGCCTTGCTGGATTGTGGACTTGCTTTGGTCCCATTCTTTTGTCTTCCCCTGTTTGTAACTTTTGTAATGAAAATGTCTATCTTGTGCCATTGAATGTTGGAAGTGCTTAGCTTTATTTCATTTGTACAAGAGCTCACAGCTAAGAATTTGCCTTATATCTCAGAGGAGACTTGAAACTTGGACTTTTCAGCAATGCGGAAACTGGTAGGACTGTGGCAACTCTTAGAGATGGACTAAATGCCTTTTGCATAAAGGGCTGTGCATGAATCTTTGGGGGCCAGGGGCAGAATGTTATTTTGCCACTCATATGGTCACGGGGGCGGGGCGTGGGTGGAGCAGGCTTTTCAAGAGGCAGATGAATCTACAGTTTATGATGGGTTCATTGTCTAGTGCTGGGATTGGGGGTATGAGTGCTACACCCACCTTAGTGCAGGTAGTCTGCATACAATAGAGGAGAGAAAAAAGGCTTCCTCTTCCACTTTGGGCTCTTGTTGCTTTTGCTGTCTTCCACCACCATGAACTGTTGCCCCTTACCATGCCACCCTGCCTTGGAGCAAGCCGATTGTGGACTGAAACCTCTACACACTGTGAGCTAAATAAACCTTTCCTCTCTTAATTTTGGGTGTTGGGTATTTTGTCTCAGCAACGAGAGCAAAGTAATTAAGACAGAATACCAAGCACAGAAAAATATCCTAAGAAATCATATAGTACTGCAAGGAAAGTAAGAAAAAGCATTAACTTCTCTTTTTTTATTGATAAAGGTAAAACTTTTTGAGGGGTAAGGTCACAGTAGTTTTGTTTTAGAGGAACATTTCTGGAGATGGGGCTTGGGAGGCCAAGAGCTGGACAAAGCACTGCTGAGGTGGTGAGTGGGGACTGTAGCTCCAGGAGCAAGGAAGCAGGGAGAGGGTCTCAGGAGACAGCCAGGCAGATGTCAGCACCTCACTGCTTCCTCCTGGCTTGTGCTGAACCGGCTTATGCCAGCTCCCCATCTCCAGTTATATGCATTTCTTCTCACCTGTGTATTCAGTGACATTATGGTGACAGGGATAGCCAGGAGCTGGTCACGGTGGTAGGACTCACACTGTGGAAACTGACCAGGGCCCCATGTCAGGGTTGTTTCTCCATGGGGCAGTCTGTTATTAATCACTTACCGGCGTGCCACTGGTTTCCTCCTCAACACTGGACCTTGCTGCTCACTACTGAAGTCATACGTCAGCTGAGAAAACAAATATATTGGAGTATGATCTTTTTGATGAACTACTGAGCACATTGAACATATTAAAGTGTGCATGATTTATGAAATGATTCATTTGGAATTTGATGGAGCAACATCTGAAGGAGAGGTTTTTTTTCTTTAGGACCTCAGAATCTATGTCATTCTGTATTAAAGATTGCTGTAAAGAACTTACAAAAGTAAATCTTGTAGGCTGTGGTTAAAGGTGAATGCTTTTATCTCCCTGAGAGCTTTTCTATGCTAAAATATTTCTCTAATTGCTGTTACATTGTTTACTGTGTATTATTTCAATGACATTGGTGTAGGTGTAAGAAAACAAGATAGTATGAGAAATTCCAAAATGAACACGTTCAAATGAAAGAAGTATTCCTTTTTTTTGTGAAAGTTTTTCTTCCTGCTCTTTTCATGTACTTTAATATATTGTTATCCTATCAAAATTTGATGTACCACCTTCATTTGTATCCCCTGAACAATGCTTAAAAAAATTTTATGTGATTTTTAGTATATTAGAGAATGCTTATCATTCAGTTCAATATCTTGAGAGTTTCTTTGGAGTTGCTATCATCAATTTTTCCCTATACTGGGACCTAAACTCAGTATCTTCACACTGAGCAACATCTTCAGCCAGTTTTTATTTTTTATTTCAAGACAAAGTTTCACTTAGTTGTTAAGTTGCCCAGACTGGGTTCAAATTTGCAATCCTCCTGCCTCAGCCTCGCAGACTACTGGGATTATAGGTATGTGCCACCACATCTGGGTAAACAATCATTTAATAAAAAAAGATACCTGATAACAGAAATCAGAAAACTGGTGTTGGAGGCACCTGGTGATTAAAAATTGGATGTACAGATAGCAAGTCTGAGAAGCAGCAGCAAAGCATTTGAAGATGTTGAATCTCCTGCTCTTTGAGAGGGACTGTGTGGAGACTCTTTGGAGCACAATTAAGTCTAGAGAAAAGTTTCAACTTCTTACACATGAGATATTTGAAAGATGTATGTATAGTAGTTAGACTTTAAATCCTGATTTATACTCAATGATCAAGATTACTTTTCTACTTTCAAAAACTAGATCTACAAATATTCAGGTATTACTTTGAATAACAACGCTAACAAATTTAAAAACTATGTATCTCATTTAGTTTCACATTTAAATATCTGAATTTAATTGGTATTTAGAATGTGACAGTTTACTTTTATGAAGGGTTAAGTGTTTTCTTTTCGCATTAAAATTAACCCCATGGTGAAAAACAAATGTGCCTTTAAAAAGATCCTTTCTTAACAATAACTTTGACTTTGCTCTGCCTCACACTGGTTCCCTCTTGCTCCCTTCCACATACAGCACAGGTCTGGAGGAGTCATACTTTAAAGTCCCTTGAATGCAGGTACCCTTTAAGTTAACGCACATAAGCTAACCTGGGACCATTTTAAAGATGCTGAGTATACTATTTAGTTCACTAGGTCTGAGTAGATAACAGCAAGCAGAAACACCAAAATGAAACCCAGGACTTGGAGGCAGATTTACTTACATCAGTGAGCACTGATTGGGATCACTTCCCGAATATCAGGCCCTGATCTCTGGTGGTCTAGGGCTTATATGAGATAAGCAAGCAGGAAGTAGAGAGGCAGAACGGCTTGTCAACTGGGATTGGTTTATACAATGTGCCGTCATAGTGATCAGCTATGCATCACAGTGACCAGCCGTTGCTAAGAAACAGGGGCAACCAGAACTGGAACAGGAACTGTTACCTGGGCAACTAAAAGCTGAAGTGTACTGGCTGGGGGGCATTTTCTGTTACGGGCAGGGCCTAGTAATGTACATTTTAATGGTCTACTGGCAGCTGCTTTGAAAGTTGTTGGCCTCTGAATTCCATCTGAAGAAACACTCCTAACAGAGGCTGGAGGTTTAGCTCAGCAGTGTTAACACCTGCTTGGAAAGTGTGAGGTCATGAGTTCAATTCCTGGTACCAAAAAAAAAAAATCTGCTGTCTGATATTGAGCTCAGTGCCAGGACCTGGCCTCAATGCTTCAAAAAACCTGGGTAGCTTCATAGACTGTGGGAAGTTGACAGTCTGAAAACACCAAGTTTTGTTGTTAGGTAACCAACTCGCCCTCCAGGCGCAAGTGCAGAACTGAAAGCCATTGGTAGAATCCCTGGAGCACTTCGTTCTTCCCACCCTCACAGCCTGACACCACCTCTTCACCGAAGTCTGCGAATTTCCAGTGACCCCAAAGAAAGTCATGCAGTTGTCAAGCTCATGATTTTAATTCTGGGAAATGTAACTAGCAAAAGTAAATTGGAAAATATGTGGTGAGGGAGTTAAACAATGGGAATATTCCTTTCCCAAAAGGTTTGAGGATTACTGGCTTAGGAGGGGTTAAAGGTATTCTTGTGGGGGATGTTTTGGGATTTTAAAAAAATATCAGACACCAAGTAATAAGTGAACTCCCAAAGGTCTTAGGTAGAAAACACGCTTGTGAAGTGGATAGAGGTGCAGATGCTATATTCATGTTTTAAGATAAGACTTTATCCAAATATTCTCACATTTACAATCCAATGCATTGACAGGGCAAAGCAGCTCTCGCAGGAATCTTACAAACTTTGTTTTTGAAGGATAAAAAGGTATCCAGTGTTATCTGGGACTTTCATCCAGACCTAAAATTAACCCCATGACCTAGTTTAACTCTAGTTTGATTATGTTTTCCAGGTCACTGGTCTTTTAATATTTGCATATCTCAAGAAATTCAGCTTGACTTCATTTTGTGCATGGGAACCTTCTGTGAATTATTAGTTACATTCCCTTTCCTTTTCTCTTTTTCCTTCTTCTTGCAGCCCTCTGAAATGTTCACCCTTTTTCTTTCTTCTTCCTTACTTCCCCCTCTTTCTCCCTCCCTCTCCTCTTCTCCCTTCATCTTTTTCTTCTCTCCCTCACTCCTTCTCTTTCTTTTTTAGATAAGGTCTTGCATGTAGTCCATGGCTGGCCTAGAACATCTGATCCTCCTGCCTCAGCCTCTCAAGTATGGAATCACAAGCATGCAGTACTACCCCAGCCTCTTATTTTCTTTCATTATCTCATTTTCTTGGCTACACATTTACTAGTAGTCCTAGATTTACTAATAGTTCAGCTATGCACTTTCTAATATAAAATAGAAAACAATATTCATTCAACTGTCAAGATTTTCAGAACAATAAAGGAGTCATTATAAGCAAAGAAACCTCAATTGTTTTTCAGTTATGTGACTGCCCTTTAATACTATGTATGGGGCTGGGGATTTAGCTCAGTGGCACAGCTCCTGCTTGGCAAGCACAAGGTCATGAGTTCGATTCCCAGTACCAGAAAACAACAACAACAACAACAACAACAACAACAACAAATACTATGCACATTTCCAGTGAGGAGAGAAATGACTAACCTAAATGTTCAACATTTCTCCTTAATGAAAATGGAATAATTACATATTTCAGTAGAATAGTCACTCATGATTGTGAGGTTAAGATGACTTTTGAGTTGGTGACAATTTATTGTTTTGTGGGTCTGTTTCTCATCATTCTATTTCAAGATATGGTATTGAGGTCTGTCCACTGCCTTGAATCTCTAAGCAAACAATTACAGTTTTCTAATCTTACACCCTTTGGTCCATATAGTGTCTACTCTAGAATGGTACTGGCTTAACAAAGGGACATGGTAAGGGAAGAACAAATTCCTTAATGTTAAGACTTCTCTTTCTTTCTATCCTCCTTTCTGCTTCCATTAAAAACAATTGTTTTGAAATAATTGATGTTGAACAGGACTTTAAGGTGAAAGAGAAAGGGTATGAATGGTTTTTGTATGGGAAAAAATGAATACAGTTGTTTTACATCATGCCTATGTCTACAGTCAACTAATAATTATTACTCCCCTTCTTTTCCCCTTGGCTTTCTGTTTGGGTCTCAAAGCACAGCAGTCACAGGTTGCATACATGCCCCCACTTTGCATTTGTTGGATGGGTTGGAGCAGTTTGGGTGGGATTTTGTTGGTGTTCTCTTCCTCTGGGGACATGCTTTGTTCTCTGTGCTATTACAACCTGCATCTGCCTTCTCATGAAACACTGATCAGTAGTCACCTGGCCAACAGGGCAGGGTGGGTTATTGTCTGCTGAGTAATGTCTGCGAGTTTAAGAGGGTGGTTATCAGGTGGTCTGAAAAGCATAAGAACAGACTGTGGTAGAGTTGTTCTTCTGACTTACAAGATGATTTTGTATTAGCTGCACTTGTATTTTTCAATGTGAACTAAATTCACACTAAGGACCTTTCAATAATTGTGTTAGTTTAATATTAACAGCCTCCTGTAAGCCTAGTGGAACTTTTTCTTGTTGTTTTCCCAGAGTGATTTGGTTTATAAATTTTTGTCTTCACATTTTTGCATTATTCATCCAACTATTCATTGAACACATTTTGATAGCCACGTAGGCAAGAAAAATCACCAGGCTGTGGCCTGTATACTGTGCTTCAGCTGTTTTCCTATGACTATCATCATGGTTAATATTTAGAGAGACCTGAAATTTGTTTAACCTCTGCATAAATAACGTACTGGATAGAATTGTCTCTGTCACTTTTAACTTCAGTTTTTATTGTTCATTATATTGGAATTTGGGGTTATGCAATACTTTACAAGGATTACAAAAAATAGGATTTAGGAAGAACATTTTTCTCTGCAAGACATGTCAAAAGCAAAGTAAGAATCTGCCCCTGGGGAAAGCATGTAACCTGCAGTTTTCATTTTATCCATTTTCTCTTATTCTTTATATTCCCCATCATTCCCTTTTTCTTGATATGCATATAATATATCTAACTCATCATTCTATTATTTTAACATATTATTTTTGCTCTGTATATGTCTACCAGTGTCCATACTAGATTCTAGGCTTTCATTGATTAGACACTAGTACAGAATTCAGAATAAACATAAATATATTTAAATATAATATGGGCTTATTTTAATTTACAAGGTAAGTGTAGTCATGAAAAGTCTAGCTTGCTTGTGTCTATAATATACTTAAGATTGTTGAATGTGGGTTTTCATTAAGGTAAATGCATGAAGAAGGTTTAACAAATATTTGTTGATCCCTTTTGCTCATGTGAAAGCTGTTTCTCCAGGTTTTTGATAGTTGTAGAGAGGTATACAAAAGAAACAGTCCCTAAAGTAGTAGAGTTGTGCTGTATTTTATTTTTTTAATTTCTGAATTTTTTTACTTTAAAGAGAAAAAAACAATAAAAATGATATAAAATTTCAAAACAAAATGATAGGGAATTAACAATAGTTATTATATAGCACATTGTTATCTTCAAAGTAGTTACTCAGATTACCAGGTATAGATATGCAAAATTGATTAAACACTATAAGTACTAAGTGTTCCTTTCAATAAACTACTAGAAAGTAGTAGTATAATCATCTTAGCTATCTTGTATATATACATACATATCTTTTTTCCCTTCTTTTCTCTTCCTGCCCCCAATTGTTGTTCTACCTTTTGAGCAGTTTCTTTCCCTTTACCTATATCTACTGTAACTTTTGGATTTTATTTACTTTAACAGTTTCTTACACTAGCGAGACAATATGATGTTTACACATGTGATTCTGATTTATTTCACTTATGAGTATGGCTTCTAGTTGCATCCATTTACCTGTAAAAGCCTCGAGTTTATCTTTCTTTATAGCTGAGCAGTACTTCATTTTATAAAAATGTCACATCTTTTTTATCCATTCCTCAGTGGATGGGCATTTGGGTTATTTCTAAGATTTAGCTATTATAAATTGTGCTGCTATAAACATGGGTGCACATATATTGCTGTGATATGATGTTTTCATTTCTTCTGGGAAAATACCCAGAAGGAGAATAGCTGGATCAAAAGGGATCCCTAATCTTAGTTTTTAAAGGAATCTCCACACTGCTTTTCACAGTGGTTGTACCAGTCTACACACCCATCAACAAAGGAGAAGTGTTCCTTTTTCCTCCACAGCCCCGCTAGCATTTGTTATTGGTTGATTTTTTTTCATGATAGCCATTCTTTTAGGGGGTGAAATGGAATCTCAGTGTTGTTTTAATTTGCGTTTCTCAAATGACCAATCATGCTGAACATTTTTTCATATATTTAATTGTCATTTGTATTTTTTTTAATTTGGTGTTTGAACTGGGGAGCCCTGACTTTTATCAATTCTTTATACGTTCTAGACAGAAGTCCTTTGTCTGAGAGACACTTGGCTAAAATTTTTTCCACAGCTTGTGGGTTTTCTTTTCACTGTGTTGGAGATTTCTTTTAATATGCAAAAACTTTTTAAGAAGATGATATCGCAGTTGTTGATTCTTCTATTTCCTGTACAGTTTGGTTTTTGCTCATGAACTCTCCGCCTACCCCTATGTCTTCAAGATTTCTACCACTTTCTCTTCCAGTACATTATGTGTTTCTGTTTTAATATTTAGATCTTTGATCCATTTTGACTTTAGTGCATGGTGATAGA